CACACAATATCCATGAACCAAATAAAAGAAGTCTTGCCTTATACAGAAGTTGATGGGCTCAGAATTCAAGTAGGTTTCCTCAGGATTTATCAGGTTTGATCGAAAACAAAACTAAAACCAGGGAAGAATATCAAGTCGTCATAACTTAGTGGATATTCAGGATGTAAATTATATATTTTGCACAAATCAAGGAAAATTAAGCATTCATGTTTCTATGAAACTAAACATTCTGAAATAACACAAACATTCATGTAGATATCTAAATCAAAATCCCTAAATACAATATATATATGCCCTACTGTCTGACATAGCCTGTCCCACCACAAATTGAATATGATATGTATCTGCCCTACTGTCTGATAAAGCCTGTCCCACGATATATAAGCCCTACTATCTGATGCTCTGTCCAGCCACTAAGTGAATACAATATATCTGCCCTACTGTCTGACATAGCCTGTCCAGCCACTAAGTGAATACAATATATATGCCCTACTGTCTGGCATAGCCTGTCCAGCCAGTAATTGAAAACAACATATCTGCCCTACTGTCTAACATAGCCTGTCCAGCCACTAAGTGAATACAATATATATGCCCTACTGTCTGACATAGCCTGTCCAGCCACTAAGTGAATACAATATATATGCCCTACTGTCTGATGTAGTCTGTCCACCCAATGAGTGAATAAAATATAGATGCCCTATTGTCTGACATAGCCTGCCCTGCCTTACAGAATATAACATCTCTGCCCTACTGTCTGACATAGCCTGTCCAACCACTAAGTGTATAAAATATATATGCCCTACTATCTGATTCTCTGTCCAGCCACTAACTGAATACAACATATCTGCCCCACTGTCTGACATAGCCTGTCCAGCCACTAAGTGAATACAATATATCTGCCCTACTGTCTGATACTCTGTCCAGCCACTAAGTGAATACAATATATCTGCCCTACTGTTTAACATAGCCTGTCCAGCCACTAAGTGAATACAATACATCTGCCCTACTGTCTGATACTCTGTCCAGCCACTAAGTGAATACAATATATCTGCCCTACTGTTTAACATAGCCTGTCCAGCCACTAAGTGAATACGATATATCTGCCCTACTGTCTGATACTCTGTCCAGCCACTAAGTGAATACAACATATCTGCCCTAGTGCCTACCATACCCTGTCCACCACTTACTCTGAGGTCTGTCCATGTCCACTGTGGGCGAGAGAGCTATCGCTACTTAGAGTGCTCTCGGACATGTTGGGCGCTGCCCCACCTGGTGCCGCCCCGCTGTGGTTGTACATGCTGGGGTTGGAAGATTCCTGCTTCCTGTAATGGTATACTGATGCTAACACTGACCTATTCTCCTCAGTGTACAATGTATTGTTGACCATGTGCTGACAATCACCAGCTGTATCCTGTGTCCTACATATTACATCTTTGGTGGAACCCATCAACACTGGTACGTTGCTAACAAACCAAGGATCATAATAAGCACAAATCTTGGATTCAAACCCTTGATTAGATCATCCTGAAGAAACTAAGGGATACCATTCTTCACAGTGAATCACGGGGCCTTAGATCACTGGTTATGTGTGACCTGTGTGTTAACCGGAGCGTTATCATGTTTACGGTTATTTGATGGGTTACCTGTGTTAAAATGAATACTACCAGATAAAATCACTATTTCAATAGTGTTATCACCATAGCAGTACATTAGGGCTGGGACTAGTCCAAATCTAATACCTGGGTACCCATCCCCCTACTACCCGACGCTACCCGGGTACCCGCTGTAGATCTCAAGAGATAGGTCCAAACGTCGGATTGGGAATAGTATGACCATAGCCCTGGCAAAATGTATTTTGAAACTGGTATAAAATGATCTGGTCATGCATACACTGAAGTTGACTGAAGTTTTATCCTTATTCAAACATATAAAGTCAGAAGGAATGTGTGGATAGTGAGAAAGAAATGCGAACATCAATAACTTGTTGTGTAACAATGGAGTTCCAGATAATTTTGCCATTAAACAATTTATCATGTGACTAACCACAGGTCTGGGTAGTCCTGTGGGTACCCGGGTTCTAAACATATGCCTCCTTGAAATACAGATGTCCTGGCTATATTCATGTTATTCACAGCATGTCCAAACCTTTGTACCTACCAGCTTGAATTTGTCTTTTTGTATCATTTTTGTATATAGTTAGCTGTTCTTAGTAGGGATGGGTATTGGAGGTTTGAAATGTATCACAATATTTTGCAATGCACGAGGCCGTAAAGGGATACATATCACAATATATTGTATAACAAAGTTTGAATTCAGAAGCAATCTGATACATTAAGGTATGAACTGAAGTTCATAAATGGAACAAAACATGATGTTGATACAACATGATGTTTACTCAGTCAATAAATACTTAGTCAATAAATACTCAGTCAATAAATACGCAGCCATCTTGGGACCCCGGATTCATGTTCCGGGGCAGCGGAGGCATTTGACAAGTATATAACATGAAACACATGACAAAAATCGTTATTTGAAATCGATCGAGCATGAAAAAGTGATATTGTGATACGTATCATGGAAAGAATTAACCTCAATTTACCAAAATACTGATAATACCACACACCCTTACTGGGCTGAAGGAATGTTGACAAGACTTGGGCTATGGACTAGTGGCTAAACAATGCTAAAGCCAATATCTTCAGCAGGCATGGTGTGAAGGTTTGAGTATAAGATAAAAGACTATTTATCAATATTCCTGGCTTAGCAAATTATTAACATCATCAAGTGACTGAGCAAGTGGTGTGGAATGAGGTGAGGTGAGGTGAAATGGGGTTTAACGTCGTGCCCAAGATTATTGCACTTAAATAGTGCCATTTTATGTGTCAAACATACTTTCCATGAACCTTAGGAAGCAGACATAAAACATCTCTTGTGAGCGTATATGTATTTGAAAAAGAGATTATAAAAAGTGTTGTGGTTGATCAGTGCCTCTGTCGCCGATTGGATCAATCACTAAGCTACAGATACGAAGGTGGTATGTTTGAAGAGACTTGTCCATACATTAGGGAGTGAGTAAGTGGATTAGGTTAAACGCCGCTTTTAACAGTATTCCAGTCATATCACGGCGTGTCAACTTAATGTGGGAGGAAAGCCCGAAGTGATGCAGGTCTCAGACATTAACCAGTTCGGTGAAACCCACGAGCACTGGTATGGTGCTGACAAACCTAGAAACATAATCGGGGCGAACCGGGATTCAAACCAACAATCATAGGTTTCTGCACAGCGAATCGCAGCGCCTTAGACGACTGGGCCACCCATGTCCCCCATACATTAGGGAAGAGAATTTATTGATGTCAACTTATGAGGGACACAACGTTTCGGAGGATATATTTACTCCTTCATCAGGTGAATTGATGCTATGAAGCAGAAAACATATGTATGTACCTGTAAGAACAACAAAAATTATAAGACAACAAAGGTGGAAACTTAACAGTCCTGGCTTCCAGTTCTCCATCACTAACACCTATCAGTGCTAATTAACTCTTAAGTGTTGGCCTCCAATTGTCCATTGCTAATCACATATCAGAGCCATTAATTATTAAGTTTCCAAGTTTGTTATATTATTACTTTTGTTGTTCTTGCAGGTACATATATATCAGAGATACAATGTCTTCAGTCTTCCTATTACTGTACTGAAATTTCTGATATTGGTTATGATATTAAGTATTTTTTAAACTAAATCACCCACAGATCAGGTAGAAAATGAGCAGCTGATTTCTTTTTCAGTCTTATTTTACGAAACAAATACACACAATCTTAATCTCTGGTTATGAAACATTATCCGTCATACAGTACACAAATACCATTGAATTTGTAAATCATCGTAAATTTTTTATCGTAAATTTTATGTTTTCATTGACTAAATTTGCAAACGGCAAAACAAGCACACAAATTCCTATATTGCAGCCATGACCACAACACGAGATGCGCAGTAAAGCAGTGAGCACGTAAAGGGAAGTAACTGCACACTATACTGACTTGGGTTGTTTTTTGGTATTGCAGCATTTCACTGCCTGGGTTGTGTGTTTGAAACCAAGTATATTTTAGGCTTTTTTAATTTAAAAAAAATGGAAATAAAAAGGAAATGTGTGGTGGACTTTGTCATAATGCGGTGCCTGAAAACCAAGACTACTTTTTTTCAGCCGAATCATGATAATATATTCTGTACAGTTCAATTGTTCATCATATGCAGATGTTGTTGTTGTTGTTTGTAGTTTAACGTCCCACTCAGCGATATTCCAGCCATATGACAGAGGTCTGTAAAAAATCGAGTCTGGACCAGACAATCCAGTGATTGACATCATGAGCATTGATCCACGCAACTGGACTTCGATGACATGCATCAACCAATTTAGCAAGCCTGACCACCCGATCCTGTTAGTTGAATCTTATGACAAGCAGAGTCGCCTTTTACGGCAAGCATGGGTTGCTGAAGACCTATAGATGTAAAGAATCTAGCAATTAGAACACATGAACGATTAGTGGTGATGGTTGTCACTACTTATAGTAATGGACATTTTGTACTTTTGTTGGCTTTTTCACTCTTCTGCTCATTCAACTCTCTGGTTGTAGAAATTCATGTTTTTCATTGGACAATTTGGTGACCACCTTGGATTTCAAAATGACCAACTTTTCAACTATATTCTATCAAAAAATGTCTTCTATTTCACTTAGATCAAACAATCAAGCATCGTTATGTTTGAATTATGTATAGTGATGGCTTGAATTGTGATATTAAAATAAAGTATGTTTTGAAAAAAGTCGGGGTATAATTAGTAAAGGCCCAAGAAGGCTGTCAAACAAAATAATACCAAAGGATTTCTTACCTTGTATAGAGAATAGAATGAGCACAAAAAAATAAAGTGGTGCCAATATTTCCATAAACCTAAAACATGTGATATTTAGGTCTACAATATCAGGTGTGAGGACTGACACAGTACCTTCTACTTTCTTCATATCCTATCTGTTGTTTCATGAACATGGCATTCTTCAGCAGTTCCTGGATGTTCTGGAAGTGGAATTCACTTTGGTACATTGTCTTCACAGCGCTGAGAAGAAAGGATAGAAAGATCATACATAACAAATCACTTGGTAAGAAGTTAAAACTCAGGGTAGAAAGATTTTGATATCAAAGATTTGAACGGGGATCTAGAGCGACTTAGGGGCCAACATTTGGCCCCAAATCTGCAGCAAATGTCAGTAAAAATTCCTAAATTGGAATTAAAGAATTCCAATTCTATGTTTTATTACTATGACCAAGTCTATAGTGCCGCTTATTTCACTGATCAATAAGAACAACAGCCTTCAATGAAAAGGTTTACATTGTTGCATTGAATACAGAGTATAAATACCTCTAAACTTAGGAAAATAAGAATTTTCACCCAAAAAAATCACTTTTGTCCAAAATAACTATTTCTTCCCAAACTGGTGAACATGGTCAACAATGGTCAAGGGCACATAGTTTGAAATCAGAGATAAATCACTGCTGAAACTGATATACTGCATTTATAATACTACAAGGGAGACCACCCATTTTGCTTACAATCAGCATATCCTAATCATGCTAATAGCTGTGATGCCTACAAAACATTTATTATTAGATATTAATCTAAAACTTTCCAAAATGTGAGGCAGGAGGAATTCTATTTTGTATTCATATTTTTTCTTGAGCTGTTTAACAAGTTAAAGTCATATGTCGTCATCAGCTGTCAACAGATGTGATTTCCATACAGCATAAACGTCTGGTAGGACAATGTATATGGTAAATTTCACCAACTACAGCAAGAGGGGAACACACAGGGACATTCTTCATCTGTTGGTACTTGAGGACAATGAAAGGATGTGAGGTGGGGTATTTGGTTGTGCGGAATGCTCAGATGATATAAATTCATATCAGGTAATTAAATAATACAAATTATTACTGCTTAATAACGACTTTACCATTCTAAATATGCTTATGCAGGGTTTTACCTTGACTTACAAAACTAGGGGTCCAGGGGACCCCCAATAATTATTTTCAAGGGTCCTTTAGGAGTGAGTGAGTGCACTGGGTTTTACGCCATGTTTTGCAATATTCAAGCAATATCATGGTGGGGGACACCAGGGTTCGGGTCTCCCGGGGGCAAGAGAGTTAACTGACTATAAAAGTCCAGTTTCCAGCCTTGCCGAACTAGGCAGGTATTATGGAGTTAGAATTTGGCTGGACTAACGAGTCTATGCATAGTCCATTCAAAATCGCGCAACGAAATCGAAATCCGGTTCGTAAACTGGTGCGCAGATTGCGGTCGCTTGCAGGATTTGCAAAGCATGTGCACCGCCAACTCGTCAACAGATATCGTCCAAACATTTTCATGTTTTTAATAAAGGTGCTCGCGGGTTTTGATGCACTTCGCGCTGTAAGACCCGTTCTATCACAACATAGATCTTGATTATCGATCAGATCGTCTTGACTGGGTGCCAATGTTTTGTTTGAAACAAATGCAAGTGATGGAATCTGATTGGTCCATAGGAGAGGCTTAGAAAGGACATAACTCGTAATAACCACTGGTGGCGCTACGATCGAGCCCAGGAATTCCAGCCAAGTTCGGCAAGGGTGGAAACTGGACTTTTAAAGTCAGTTAACTCTCTTGCCTAGGGAAGATGCATGGTGGGGGATACCAGGGTCCAGTGAAGTTCATCTTCCCGAGGCAAGAGAGTTAACTGACTATAAAAGTCCAGTTTCCAGCCTTGCCGAACTAGGCTGGTATTATGGAGTTACATTTTGGTTTGACTAACGAATGAATGTAACGAATGGATGTAACGAATGGATGTAACGAATGGATGTAACGAATGGAAGTCGCCAATTTGAAACTAGTGCCGCAATGTTTAAGAAAGCTGCTTTCTTAATGGCTTATGTCGACTTCCTGTTGGTAATTTCATTGGTCGGTAAAAGTTAGCGGAAGGTGGTTCTGACATGACTTGTAATGGGATGTCCTCAGCGGTAACTTGTACTCGATTTTAATGAAATTGAGGTAATCTGGGCATGTGATCAATCCTTCTTTGTTTATTTAAAGCAGTAATTGTTTATTGTTAAGCAAGTTTATCTCTGCAGCCGTTGAAATATGCAGCTACTCACCGACTCATCTCTCATCAAAACACGGGCTGTGTACTCGCGGGCATATGACCACGGAGTACGCTGATCACTGTGTCGGATTAACGGGACTGATTAATGAGTGATTTCAGCAATTCCTTGCAAATTAGGTGCGTCAGAGTCGGAGTGCGAGACTGTCGGATTAACGGGTCTAAATAGCACTGATTAAATCGATTCCCACCATTTGTGTCGGATAAAGCTGATTGTCAGATTAACAAGTGTCGGATTAACGAGACTTGACTGTATATTTTTCCTGCGTCCATTCTAGACTTTTGTGCGTACTGGATGCATATTTCTGTGTCGTGTAAAACCCTGTTAATGGATTTTCTATGCTATACCGTCTTGGGGTGTCTATACTAGTCTCACTATTTAAACAACCAAATGAAAAGACTCACTTTGTGGCATATTCTGTATCGAAACATGCCCCTTGAACCTGCTGTTGTATGCTCTGCACTTCATGCTGAAAATACAAGTACCGTGTAAGGTGATAAGTACATTGACGGTTGAAGACAGTGCCTAGACTATAGACTAGTTGATAACAGACACAACATTCCCATAAAAATATTCCAGTCCTCATTTCATTTAAAACATTACAACTTTTAAAGTTATTTCCATGTTATAATTGAAAACAGACCACAAATTTGAAGTGGTGGAATATATCATTGCCTGTGAAGATTTGCTGTTGCTGTTGTTAGCCATACACTAAGAATGCTGATGCAAGTGAGTGAGTGAGTTGGGTTTGAACATTATCACAGTGTCAGCATCATGCGGGACGAAAGCCTTAAGTGATGAAAATCTTGGACTTTTACAACCTTGATGAAACCCATGAACACAGGAATGGTGCTGATAAAGCAAGAAAACAAATAAAGGAGATTTCGGATTTGCTCTCTTGACTTTAAAATCCTGGCATGTCAAAGGGATATAACACTGCAGAATGCAGTGCCTCAGATGACTGGCCTTCCTGTGCCCCTCCACTAAACAAGAATCTTAGACTTCTGATAGAAGAATGGCTGAGATCAGTTTGTATTATGAAGGCCTGCTGCCCAGAAACCAGAGACTGACAACATCAATTAGAATTATATACAATGACACATGTTTCAGTCATTGTAGGGAAACCCACGACCCACAGATTTCAATGTGCAGAATCGTCGACTGCAGGATTTGCTTAGCATATGTACTGCCAATGTGGTGTCGACAGATGTTATCCAATTCTTTTCATGTCTTTAATCAAGGATCTTAAATGATTTGATGCAATTCGGGAGGAAAGACCCGTTTTATTACAATATAGATCTTGATAATCGATCAGATCATCTTGAGTGGGTGCCGCCATTTTGTTTGAAGCAAATGCAAGTGATATCTGGAATCTGATTGGTCAATAGGACCAATCAAGCCAAGAAATTGCAGTGTAGTTCGGCAAGAGTGGAAACAGGACTTTTGTAGTCAGTTAACACCCTTGCCTTGGGAAGATGCACCTAAACTGACATTCTACAATGAATTTAGAAAAGAAGTGATACCATTACTCAAAACTGAGACACATAACACGATAACCCTGGGGAATGTATGTTATCCTGTGTTTACATTGTAGACAGTTGCTGCCAGGAGATATGATGGTGCTAACGTGAGCGAGCACAATATCTGAGATCAGAGTCAGATCAGAATCCCCACATAGACACAATGTGTGACAACAATTGTCGGAATAAAGTTGAAAGTGGAATAAAACCCAATTTACTCACTCACACAAATATCTGCACACACCATCTGCCAAAACCCAACAGTAATCTGTGTTAGAAACTAAATTGTATTTTAAGCTAGGGATCTCCAAAACCCATCTTGCAACATTAGTAGTTTGACAAGTATCCTTGACTTTCGTTTTTAATCTCAAACACTGATAATGACATAAAAATTCTCTAAAAAGACTTACTTTCTGTTCCACCAGCTGTGGCAATGTCTTCCTCACATGCTCCTGGATACGGAAGAAAGCCAGCGATGGTTCATTAGCAACTGTGTTTATATTCTCTGAAAATTTGTCTGAAACTGATAAAACACAATATGCATGATTGGGTCCATAATAATAACGATACTTCCAATTACTACTACCACTAACACTACTAGTAGTACTAATGTGTATATTTATAATGTGCCAAATCCACAAACTAAGCATGATCTGAGAGCCACATTTTTACCCCAGTCAATGGACCATTGTGGACTTGATTTTCATTCTCAGCTCCCTGGGGAGTATACATAATTACAACCCAAGATGCAAGTGAGCCGAGGTGCTAGAAGGCTTACAGTCCCATTACCATCCCATCCTACCAGGTACCTGGGAGAACAGAGACATATTTCGAACAAAGTCACTTGCCCAAGGAAACCCACATGTGCTTCAAGTGCCTGAGTGTAGGGCAGGACTGAAGGCCCTTGGAACTCTCAGGGTGAGTGAGTGAGTTCAAATTTAACGTTGCATCAGCATTATTTCAACCATATAACGACAGAAACTCTCAGGAGTCAAGCCAAGGAGCCAACGACTCGGCATGACCGACGATGCTTAAGGCTGAAAAAAATAATAGTCTTTGTTCTCAGGCACCGCCCGCATCACCAAAGAGTCTGCTGCACATTTTTATTTCCATTTTAATTTTTTAAAATAAAAAACCCAATACTTTAAAACAATGCGATCCCATATAACATGCAGTTACTTCCCTTTACATGCACACTGTTTTACTGCGCATCTCGTGTTATGGTCATGGCGGCAATAAGAGTTTGTACGCTTGTTTATGTAAGGAGACCCTCTCCCATGAAGATGGTACACAACTGTTTATTTGGTTACATACAAGTTTGAACAAGCAAAAAAACACACAAAACATCGCCCGCCCGCACGCACTATATTTCCAAAAGTCATTGCCTGAAAACCAATTCTTTTATTTTTTTAAGCCTAACTTCACCTGATTTGTGACCATGTGCCTCCACATAAGGTTTACTTCTGTCGTGTCTGTATACGTACCTGTAATGAGTACTTAAATCTAGGGACACACAAAATGTTCAACTCTAAGCACCAAGGTAATGACAGGCAACCCTTTACGTTCCTGCCTAATTTCAATGACGGTTATCAACAGCCAAATATAGATATGGATTAGGCTAAAATAAATAATAGTCTTGGTTCTCAGGCACTGCCCGCATCATCATAACATTCGCAGCATGTTTCATTTTTATTTTAAAAATAAAATATTTAAAAAATCCATAAATAATCCAAGCTCAGCCGTAGTCAAATACTGTATTCAAGTATTATACTCATCAAGGAATACATTTGTGTAGGAAGGCCCTTTCCGAGGTACATTGTACACAACCTTTTTTTGGCTACATACTAGTATGAATATAAAAAAAACCCGCCTGCCCGCACTAAATTTTCAGAAGCCTTTGCCTGAGAACCAATTCGTTTATTTTTTTAAGTCTAACACTACTACTTTTTGTAAATTCATACCTCTCCTTGTCTTATGGTCCAGCTCAGGGTCAACAGATTCGCGGAAAATCTGGTTGCTGCTCATACGACTGTATAAACCGTCTCCACCTGTTGACATAACATACCACTGTCAGTGTGTCAGAAATATCTGAGAATGTCCCTACCCCAAAAAGGTGCTATGTAGGCCATGGGTAAACAGGAGCCTTGAGGGGGATTGTGACAATCAAGACAGACACTGCCTCACGACTGTTGAACTCCATCATGGCTCTCGGCTAGACTGAGGGCTGCCACTATTTGGGATGTATCTAATCTCATTGTAGCAGTTTACTACAGATGGTCTTTACTTTCTAATCACTATTCTGACAAAATATGTTCAGTTTCTAAAGTTGACAAGAAATGTGACTCGTCTAGACCTTTCATCAGACAATTTAGGTGGAGGAAACAATTACCACATTCTCCATCACACTATATACCATAATACTCTTATAATGTTAACCATGTTGACAAGTGTCGGACTGACAGTGATGTGACAAAGGCCATGAAGTTTGCAGGCATTTATCTAGGCCAGCTCTGAGGCTGATAGTCGGCCCCAAGTCTTTCACAAATGTCAGTAAATATTCCCAAATGGGAATTTCAAATTTCACAATTCATGTTAAATATTACTGTTATGTCTTTGTATTGGTGACTTGTATTTCACTGACCATTTTCAGCAAAGTGACTTTTTATTCTCCAAAATTGCCTGCCAATGGCACTTAGTTCGGATTCCTGGATAAATCCCAGGTTTGTTATGACACTGATCATAATCATATGATCTGACAATAGGGTGCAATGCTTTATGGGTAACACCAAAGACGTATATAGAATGTATATACGTCCGTGGTAACACACAGGCGTATTATCTCTACCGTGTATCCTTATATATACCACATTTAGACTATGTGACTCTGATAACTGATTTATCCTCGTTATACAAGCGTTCACGCGCAAGAACAAGGCAGACGACCCTCAAGGTTTTATCACTGTTAGTGAAATATCAGTGTTAATGAATGAGAATTATGTCACCGCCTCACCCTGCATGTTCGGCTGATGCTGGAACCACAAGTAGTTCATTCCATTTTCCATCCAAAAGAACTTTCACCGCACTCAGTTGACGTTTTGTATCTATCGCAATGATATAAATAAGCAGATGCAGAAACTGAAACCCGGAAACGCAAAGACAGGCTCCTTCCCATCGCGTGATACTTTTCTTACCTCCCTATCGCTGTGAGGAGCTTGGGCAGAGCCAAGCTCCTCACAGCGATATCCTATTCGCGGGAGCTCTCTATCGCGAGTCAAAGCTCCCCACTGTTATCTAGGTGACCACATCCATTCTTGGACTTGAACTCGTGACTGACTGAGCGTTATGTAAAATATATTTACAAACAAGTGATGGCTGTCTGACGCCAAATTTGTGGTTTTCTTTTTCAATTTGATTTTCTATTTCATTGCAATCATCATGTAATTGGTACAGTAAGAATGTAAGCGGGAAGTTTGTTAATTATTTTCAGTTTGTCTGCAATCTCGAACCAATCCACAGGAACTCGTTATTGGTCAGTAAATAAACATATATATATATATATATATATACGTAAAAATATATAAGTTCTCTACTTATGTATAGGGGTAATTATTTTTATTTACTTACCAATATCCAGTTCCTGTGAACCAATCTGACAAAAAAAAAAGATAGGTAAATTCAAACGTTTTTAAAATTCACTATGATGACATTCCCAAAGACATTAACAAATGTATAAAAACGTTACTACATTTGGGGTTGGAGAGCAAATTTCAAGATGTGATGGTCGCGCCCACACTGGTGTCAGCGATGTTACCGAGAGTGTGACGAAGGTGTCACGCGCTGCCTCACAGCAATACGCTAGGCCCCGTCTCTCATATCGCAGTTATGAGCTTGGCGCAAGTTTACGACGCGCATATGGAGCATACACAAGATTCAATAAGCATACTTTCCAATTTTTGGGCAATTGGCATGTATTTAAATAAGCTTTGCTGTTTTCAGTGTTAATCAGCAATTTCGACTTGTTCAATTTCTGTGTTTGTAGTTTATTGTCGCTCGGGTTGTTGCAGCTTATTGTTGTTATGATCGACCTTGTAGGCCAATTGATATGTACAATCTTTCTCAGATCGCCCTCCTATTCAGAAAGGGGACAATGTTAATTCTAGCTAAATCGGTTTCACAACCGGGGTTGGACTTGTTAGCACTGCGTGGTAGGGTAGATTTCTGTATACTGAGTTCTACATAGATTTATGTATGGCCTCATACTACAAAGACCCCTTTAGCCTTAATTAATGGCAGCGAAAATATAGGAACATTCGTGACCAACTCATGTCATTCCAGGGCAAGCTGTATGACGACTCGTGCACCTCTAGAAGGATTTCACATTGGCGTATGGACACCAGAGTTACACGTGTTAATGTGCCCCGTGGCGGTGAATAGCGATAACCATGTTTTCGTATTGGTGTCCTTCAACAAAACTTCTTGATTCTGAGTGGTCAAATTTTCCAATTGACATCTCTAAATTGAACCTTTCACACAAAAACTGTGTGTATGAATACATCGATCTATACATAGGCTACATATATCGATGCATATAACAATGGCTGCCGATAACCCATCAGAACTACATTCGTTCGATATCGAAACATTATCGGATATTTTTGACGAGCATTTTGACGCAAAGATCTTAACCTTGGCTGGTTCGAGGATGAAACGAAGGTGTATCGTTTGCACACAAATGATTACGTTTATACAACTTTTAAGGACACGTTCGGTAATTTTCTCATTGAAACAAACGAAAATAGAATTAAACCATAAATCATTAGAAAGGTCCCAAAAATATCTCAAGCGCTCGGGCCCCAATTAGAATACGGCGTATCGAATCTCCAGCGACTGGCTGTGTTTGTCAAACCATAACTTTTAGTTTTGATACATCTGCGAAACACATATATGCCAAATAAAATCACTTATGTATGACATGAGATGACGAGTTTATGATACCATAAGTCGGTCTCGGTAATTTTTGTGACTAGCTATTGCTACATTGTGTTTAATCAATCGGCTACTTGCACATATCACCATTAGCATAATGCTTGTAAGACAGTTCTTTTTTCAAGTTTGGTAAGAGGTGAAAATCACACGGTGCCAAATCTGCTGAATACGGAGGAGTTCAAAGCTTCGGTAATGCATTGTAGTCACGGCGACAATAGCCTGATGCACGGGTGCTTTGTCATGGTGGAACAACGCCCATGTTGTGACTTTTCCCCGCAGGTATCTGAACAGACTTGCATAATATTGGCCATTAATAGCCTGACCTTTTTGGGGGGCAGTTCGCCAGTAGGACTCCTTTGGAACATTAGAAAACCGCAGTCATAAGCTTCCCATCTGATGGAACAGACTTCCTTTTCCGGAGGATGCGACGTCAGATGGTTACAAATCGCACAATACAATCAGTTGGGTCTGCTTCAAAACGACATAAATTCTCACGAGAGAGGCCTATTGTATTGGCTATGTGACGTGTGGTGAGTCACCAATCATCCATTATCATATTTTGTATTTTATTAGCTGATCTTAGATCATCTTTGGAGCTCTCTCTTCTCTGAACTCCACCAGACTCCCGTTTGAATAGTATGGAGATTATTTCCTGTCATTAGATTCCAACTATTCTGCCACTGAGTAACTATACTTTGGTTAATAGTAGGCCTAAAATCAGAGAAGGGTCGCTTGCAATCCGAAACTGTATGATCAAGGGCAGCCTCAGCTCTGGTGTTAATTAATATACCTACATGTACTGGTAACCAGCAGAATACATCATGATTGTGTGTAGCTAAACAAGTGTGAAAGTTGTCACAAAATGTCACAAATTAAAGGATGATCAAATTTAATGTGGTTAAGAGCTTATTATGGCTTCTTTAATATTTGAATTGGCAATGTGGTTTAATGCTGAGAGTCTTTGCTTCAACTCTAAATCGAAGTCGAACAGAGCATATGTAATGTCCTGGTACTGATGTTTTGATATCATTAAATCATGTTCTATTTTGTCATCATAGCATCAGTAAATTAACATTTGAAAAACTTAATTTATCAGTTTAATGGATATCTTAATTTCAATTACAATTTGCACCACTGACATCATTTTCACAATTGCCTATCGCCTCGCTTGAGTAACTGCAATCATACACGTCTTGTTATCGATCAGTACGTATTGAATAGTTGTCCTTAAAGTGATTGTTCGTAATCTCCGCTCCATGTTAATCCGACGATTCCCATGCTGATAGGATTCTGATAAATTTCAAAAACAAAGTGTACGACTATACGTGAATTATAGCGTCATATCGTGTTACCATTTGTTAGCAGCTGTTGAAATAATGTGCATATTATCATTGCATTAACATTCGTTTTCTACCTGGACTTGAGCTTGCACCATAGCTTGTTGTGTGAGTATTTTCTTCCCCATACAATCATAGTATTCTGTCAAAAGTATATTATATATTATATATTGTTTGTCCAAATCCTTAATGGTTTCATTATTACAGCTAACTAGTCACTTAATGTGTAGGCCACATACCAACAGGCAGTTCCTAATACATGTTATGGCTCACAGACCAAAGTGGAACCAAACACTTCTGATGTAGACACTATGTGGATTGTCTATAGGAAAAAAGGGGTTTGTTTAATGAACGTGTGTGCCTTAAATGTGCGGTATTGTGACACTATTCAGTAATATCAAAGTCGATGTTTATATAATCATGTTGACCACCTTGGCGAAGTGGAACCAATACAGCCATGTTGAGTGTAAAATTGGTGAGCGATGACAAGGACTTTCCTTCAAACACACTAAATGTGGTCATTATAAAGAACAATATATATTGTTCTTGATAACGGCAACGTATAGTTGCCATTATACGCTATGCATTATAAGTTGCCACACTAAACGTTGCCATTATAAATAACAATATATATTGTTCTTTATAATGGCAACGTATAGTGTATTTAAAACAGTCCTTTTCACCGCTCACCACTCACTATAGTAAATATATGTACTGACAATCTTTTACGCATAGACATTTTGGTTAAAGCACACTCACGAAGGGATCAGTTATAGCAGACAACGGATCTGATGGCAAATTCACCATGAACATTCATCAATAAGTGGAGTAAACACGTACACATGTGCTGTTCTGGACATAGTCTGGATATAAAATCTCATTACCCCAATTAAGTCTACTTAAATTCTTTGAAGTAATAATAGAAAAACCCCACATTTCCTCAAATTATCGACTCACTAATTCCCCAGTGACAACAGTATGGATTCTAAAAGGATGTTTGCCTATTGTTTAACGCCGCACTCAGCAATACTCCATCTGTAGGACGGCAGTATGTAAATGACAATCCACTGATTGACATGAGCATCGATCTACACAATTGGGATCCGATGACATGCATCGACCAAGTCAGAGAGTCTGACCACCCGATTCCGGATCCGAGTGTTTACAGATTGCCATGATGTAGCTTGAACAGTAGATATCCGGGCTTCGAATCACGTTTTTTCAACCAATCGGATAGCAGCACATACTCCGATGAGACACAACAGTTAACCAAACAATAATTGACATGCAACGTTGTGTTTAGACAAGTAAGTAAGTAAGTAAGTAAATTAGTAAGTAAGAAAGTAAGTAATCTCGTACATGATTTCAGCGGACGTTACCAGCCAACTGTGGACGGTTCTGTGAAAGTGAGAACAGGATGATGAATCTAACGTCATTCAATACAACCGACGCGGGGAACGTGACTTCCACTGGGGAGACCAGTCCGCTGAAAGTGGCAACAACAGGTACAGGGGCAATATGGACACTGCCTTCACACACGGATGCTCCTCCTTAACTTTGTAATGAAATCAGGATTTTATAATTGTTGCGGGATAAAAAGGAAAACATCCATTATCGCATACTCTCTCTATCCTAACAGGAGACGATGTCAAATGAGCTGCTAAATATCCTATTAAAACAAATAGAGTGCCTTGTTACCATAATATTTTAATCCTTTTTCCATCATTGTTCAAATGTGTCGCAATAAGGTCTTACCAGTATTAACATAAGCCATGAAAGGAAGCCAATATGTGAAGTCAAAATTGTGAAAACCATCTTCTTTTGATTCTGCATCCTATCCCTGCATCCAACTGAGTCCTCAGGCTTACACTATTCAAACACATTGGGAAGAAGGTTAACATGGTTAAGAAACTTGCATGCTTTGAAATTTGAGATATATGAAACTTTGAAGGGTTATATAGTAGATTTGGGCATTTTGATTATGAAGATGTTGAAAATTGTTCATCTCAAACTGAATCATTTTGTGGTAACCACCTTATGTACTTTGACATCCTTACCTTTGATCTAACGGAGAACAGCATTCGGCTTTGATAGTCGACTGTTGGATGGGGCCAGGGATAAGGTATTTGCGTACCATGATATGAATTCTAGATGTGCAAGAAAAGATAATCGTATGAATATATGAATAGATCCGGGGAACATCAGATCAGAGTTTACGATTTCAATTACTGAAGGTTATGTATTCTCTCTGTCCCGGTTTGTGTATGATATTAAATATAACATGAGACAAACTGTTTTCTGAATTACAGTTGAGAAACCTTGTTGGCGGCCATCTTGTAAAAATGTGATTGGTCCCTCATCTAGAACTACTTTGTAAAGCACTACTTGTCACCATGCCAAGTTTCATTCTTTAATAAAGAAGTGCACAGTTAATACTAATGCCCTATTCGGCATATCATATGTAAATAAATGCGACAAAACCCGTACCGTAATAATAAAAAATGTCTGCTTAAAGAAGCCCTTTGATGTTGATCTAACCAGCGGCACTGACAATTTGCCTTATCTGCATAATGTTGGGCGTCGGAGCCTGCATCCAGCTCAAAGAATTATGGGCTCATCTGAGACGGCCATACGGCATCCTCATCGGGGCGGCGGCACAGTTCATCCTGCTGCCTCTGACGGCGTTCGGTCTGGCTCATGCTCTGCAGCTGCCTCCACGGCAGGCGATAGGGATGCTGATCATGAGCTGTTGCCCGGGTGGATCCACCTCTAACATGTTCACGTTGTGGGTGGATGGAGACGTGCCCCTCAGGTCAGTGGGAGCCAGTATAGGACGTTTAATGTATATATTGTTAAGAAGCCATGTTCCTTCGTCTACATGCAGTTTTACCACAATGTGTGATGTTACATATCCATTCGCCAACTCGCATCATGTATGTTAAGGTTTGAATATGATAACATTTCGATATGTGGGAACCTTTCAAAGTCCACAGAAAAGCACACCCATGCCAAATATAACCGAAAACATACTTTCTAGGTGGACCCCTCCCCCCTCTCTTGTTTAAAAATGCTGAATCCGCCTTTGCATACTTAATCCTGTAGTGATAATACAAGAATACTTAATCCTGTAGTGATAATACAACGACAATCACTTTCTGAGAATTGAAAGACATTTATGAAAGTCGTGCAAGAAGCTGAAGGGCGTTGACCCCAAACCGGAAACACTACCAACTAACCTCACAATGATACAAATCTGTGTTTCTCTTCAAATGTTATTTCCGTCCTTAGTTCAACGCAAACACACTGCTTACCTATCATAAGGGACGTGAACTGATTCATCCATATATTTTGTTTGGTTCCGATAAGACGATCTCTTCCTCGCTTACGTTTGCGGACCCCTGGTAAACAACGTGTCACCAGCATGATTTAATAATGAATGCCTTTTTTACAGCCTTGCAATGACCACAGTGAACACGGTATTGTCGACCGGATTTCTGCCCCTCAATCTTCTTATCTATAGTCGCTCTTGGTCAGACAAGACAGCGGTTATACCTTATGTCAGTCTAGCACAGGGAATAGCCCTGATGCTTATACCGACAGTCATAGGTATCGCAGTGCGTCACTGGAGGCCGAAGGTTGCCCTGTACATGATAAAGGTGAGTATGGTGTCTAACAGTCAGCAATGTTTTAAGTCATAGTCAGCACTAATGCAGCTAAGCACGAAAGCAGCTTGATATTACGAAGTCTTATACTAGTATAAAATTTGGGAAAAAATGCCCAAACTTTGACACAGACTGCCCTTTGCCTGTAGTTACCTTAATGACAATTAAAAGCACTTCCGTTTTACAACAGCCGGACTGAGAAAAGACATGCCAAATGCAGTGCAACATCAAAACAGAACGTCCCATATCCCTAGCTGCAACAAAATAAGCTAACATGCACATTTATCCTGGGTTTGGACAAAAACATGTTTTAAAGCAAGGCATTTCTTAAACAAAGTTCCATGCGTCCAGCTACCTTAATAAGAAAGATATATGTGCGAGAGTAAATATGTTTCCCCTGAACATATGATCTGTGGAATTGATATACCAGGAGTTTTGTTCCTGTGGAATTTTATTCCAAGGTATAGTGTTCCACAGGAACTAGACTCCTGGTATATCGCTTCCACAAGAAAAACTATTCAGGGGAAACATTATTACCCTCACATATGCACTTCCAGTTTGCCTTTATCCACCCACATGCTTGATTATGTGAAAAAAACATGCTCGAAAACATGGGCGTTTGCTCTTACATAAAAACACAGACGCCGCGATATAGCTGGAATACTGTTAAAAGCGGAGTTAAACCCAACTCATTCACTAAAAAACACAGAGGGTTGGTTCAGAACACAACGAAACAGCAATCTTGCAAATGGCCATTCATGTAACTCGACCTTTAAAAGGGCACCCAAAAGCTGGCTAAGTGTATGGCCTGGAGAGGGAAATTGACCTTCAGTATCAGTGACCGGGGCATCAGTCATATGAACCAAAAATGTGTCCCTTGGTGGAATTCAACCTGACAAAAAAAAATTAAAAAATTGCAAATACTATTCAGAAAAGTAGGTCACCTACCACTAATATCATACGAATGATTGTCATTATTTGTTATACATATGTATTCAAACCCCAAGGATGTCGTGTACCAAATGACATACTGTAAATGCTCTATTTACGGTAAAATTCAGACAAAGCAAACATTAAAGCACCGCCATTTACACTGGGCAGCTGATAAAGGACCTACTTTGCCCCGGATGTTCCCCCTAAACATTCGTCAGTAATTCACCTGGGATAAAGAATAACAAAGTATAACACATCCATTCTTATAACGAAGGAGGTGGAGCGCATGTCTTTTCATGGCAAACTGTGCAATTGACCAACCGTCACTCCATGTGGGGATTCCAGGAGAAGCGCCGATAAAAGATGAAGGGCGGTTCCTAGATCTGACCTGCCTGACTGTGCGTTAATGATAACCCCCGAAAGCAGTCAACAACTGCATTGCCTAGCCCAGACACGACCATAACTTTAAAGCGGCGTAAAACAAAACCCACTCACCTCTACACTATTGTGAAATACCTGATTGCCAAAAATATAGTTCATTTTCATGAAAAAAGTGTTTCAGGTATTTCGACCGCCTCCATGGTCTAGTGAAAAAGGCAATCTGCTAGAGACAGAAAATACGTTCAAAGAGCATGGTACTTATTCTTATCCTGCCCGGCGCTCGACTGTAAGGGATAAAACAAGGACTGATGAACCCCAACTGACCTCACCTTCAGACTTGTATGCAAGTACATGTCCAGAATACTCCCATAAAAGACATATGTTTATATCTTCTTCACCTGTAATCTATATTTTTATTTTTTGCAGATGGGCAGCATTGCAGGAGTAGTGTCGGTGGTAGTAGTCACTGTACTTACCAGCCTCCTCTACCCTTTCATGTACAACTCCTCCTGGAGGATATACTTTGCAGTTGTTATCCTACCATTCATCAGTTTTGGGTTCGGGTACACCACCGCCTTCGTCGCGAGGATGCCACATTACAAGTGCAGAACAGTTGCTTTGGAGACAGGGATACAAAACTTCCCTTTTTGCATGACCCTTTTAACCTTGACATTCAACAAATCAGAAATGGGTGAATTGTCCTTGTATCCTCTGTTATTTGGTGTGTTTGTAATTGCAGAGTCAGTAATCTTGACTGCAGCATATAAGGCTGGCTTATTCATATACAGTAGGATGTCAAAGCCAGATGGGTTTATTTCTGTACCCAAAGACAATGCTGTACATCAGATGGACGAGATGAAACAGACTTGTTAACATTTGGGTCAGTAAGACACGTTTGCATTTTATCTTCTGATTTTACGAATGATTCTACACTCGTTTTATCAGAACAACGACACTTTACATAAGTTCTCTAGAGACGTATGTTTTGAACAAAGAGACAAATGTCAGACTGGGATAAATTAATGGAAAAAACAGACCGCATAACCCCAAAACTGATGATGCATTGGAGGACCAACCGAATGTGGGGGTAGTACAAATTTGATACTGGGTACACTCTAGACATCAATCGCTGCCTGTCATTGCCTTCGCAGGTATGCAATGAGAGCACGTATTATGTTCTGTGGACTGATCTGCCAGTGCTGCAGAGCAAGAAACAAGTCAGTATATTTGACATGTTATGTGTGAGTCGTCTTTGGATGGCAATGTAAACTTTCTATTGAATTTCTTTTGAGGAATTCTTGGGCACACTCTGACTATTTGTTGCCTGTCAATAGTATAATGTTCGGTTCATGAACGTCACAAGTTGGGGTTGTAAAATTTCAGTTCTATACCGCACGTTAGTCAATGCACCCGCGACATGCATTATCGAAACGGCCAGTCTGCTGTACATGGAGTTATGGGGCGTAGTGTTCGATATGCCGTATATACACCCTTGCTTGTGTCTGCCGTTTGCAGAAAGTAACAGGTTCTTCTCCACCAGGGTAAAGTCCTAACAATTATAGTTGATTACACTAGTGTATAAGTACAGATTAACGGCGTGTTACATCTGCCAGATTTAGGTGCACGAATCACAGCTTGCCTCAGACAGTTTTATGCGGTCAGACTGAAGATGCAGAGCATGCCAGTAATGGCGAATGGCGGTAGTTGGGCAGTTATCACGAATGTACAGGTACTGTGTACGGGTCGTCATCCTTGGCCTTGGTGTCTGGGCCTATCAGAGACACACCCGGTAGTGGTGTATCGCATCGACATCTTATTGATGGTCGCCCTGAACATATTCGTGGGCAAAGCTACATCCTGCAGATTTAACCCTGCGTCCAGTCGTCCAATGACATGCTGTATAGGTTCGTTTTGAGTGAGTGAGTGAGTGAGTGAGTGAGTTAAGATTTGTAGTCACATCGGCAGTATTTCAGCCATATCGTGACTACAACAATTTAAACATCAAGACGAAATATGTTGTAGACTTTTTTAAACCTGCCAGTAAAGGACAGTAAATTAACTAGAGCATCACATAAATATTTAAAACTAGTTTGGAATCATAAAACGACATCACTATACATAACAAAACATGATAAAAACAAGCTAGAGATCGCCAGCAACCAAAGTTAGGCCACCTTACGAGAAACCGTGGGGACTTACGATACTTCTGATTCCTGCACGATACCCCAGCAGGATTTACACCGTCTCTTCACCCGCCAATTAAAGTCAATTAATACTAACAAATATACTACGATTAAAAATGAGATAGGCCTAAATGTGATTTGAATGATGTGAAAGTTACGTACCCTCTCAAGGGGGACAGTAATTTATAATTTATCAGTACTTTAACCCCCTTCAAGAATACAGCAACTAACAATCTTAGTTGCAAATTTAATCTACCAATTTTAAAACGACATATGCAATTTTACAAAACATACTAATCACAATTTTTTAAACAATTCAATTTCCTTTAAAAACGCAGTAATTATATGAGAACTAATACTATTGAAAAGATCCTTGATAGATGATGATTTGAAATAGTTATCTCTCATCACAAGGAATGCAAAATGGAGGATCCTCACCTTTCAATAAATATTCATGTGTATAGCTGCGACATCGTCGCATTATGACCCCTTCAAATCTGGACTGACAACCCAAATAAGTGTAACCGATAGTTTTATTTCGTGTAATTATTTATACCTACTTGGGTGTCCCACATCTCTCTGATGTAACATCTAATAACAGGTTTATAATCACTGTATGGGATTGAGAGGAGTGGCTACATATCCTATTTATTATATATTTTTTGTGTAGGTGTCTACAGGGACGGTTCACCACCCTTTGTGTTTGCGACTTGAAAAGTAGTTTCGTGTTTGCAAAATCTTAACCAATATAAACAAAAGTATAAAACAATATTAAGGGTCACGAAAATTCATTATTATATATTTAGATATGATTATATACAAAATCAACTTTAACAAAAAATATTCTTCAAAACTAGGAGACCGCTGTTGGAAGCGAAAGAATACACGCTGGTCAAGAAACAAAAATGGCGCTTTGCGAAACGAACCGTCTCGATTGACGAGTTACAATGTATAACGAAACATTTTCGAGAGAATAACAAACGGCAAGACATGATATTAACTCAACACATGACCACCTGTCATTATTTTGCCTTGTCAATGTGGAACTAAGTTAACGTAAAAAGGAAGTCAACAGTTTGTGTATTGGCTAGACACTTACGATAGAGGGGGACAATTTAAGGGGAGAGGCTGTTGTATGACAATAGTTCCGTCAAAGTGTTATGTTCACTGCAGTGAAATATCAAGTGTTATGCTCACAGCAACTTCACTTCTCAACTTCAGAAAACTCAGAAATGTATAATAAATGACACATTTTTAATAGCCTGAAAACACGAAAGAGAGTCTGAAAATATTATTACTGCTTATGCTTAGATTAGATTAGATTATGCCAATTGATACTGCCCTGAAAATTGAGGTGACATGTGGTAACCTCGATGAGATGGTTCTGGATCCTATTATGGTAGCGCTGGCAACTGTGCACCATCCTTGGATCGATCCATCAGTAAATATAAATTTGTATGTGTCATATATATTTCTCAGTTGATTGTATTCTTGTTGATAAATGAGTTTATCGGTTTGTGATTTCTTTTGTTTTGTTAATGTCTACCTCCGGCTTTACCAGTTGCCAAGGAGGCGAAGACAACAGGCGGTAAGAAGTTATTTGCTGAAGAAATGGCAGTTTTTTATCCTTATTCCAAGAGGGGGAATAAAAGGAGATTTATTTTGGTAAAGTTCCTCATAAAGGAAATGAAAAACGCAATCGTATGCAGGATTAGATTGATTTGAAGATAATATACTGTAAGGATAATTTCATACGTCGGAGTTTAAGTGATGGCTCGTCAGCCTCTACATATAAACTGTTAACTGTATATATATAGATATAGAGATAGATAGATAGATAGATATAGATATATATAGTACACAATAATCTTGGACGCGACGTTAAACCCAATTTCACCACACCTCACCTCACCCAACTGCGTGGATCGATGCTCATGATGTCAATCACTGAATTGTCTGGTCCAGACTCGATTATTTACAGACCGCCATCATATAGCTGGAATACTGCTGAGTGCGGCGTTGAACAATAAATAAACAAACAACCTCAAATGTTCTCTGCGGTTGTGTTTTGGTAATGTCTGCTCGTTTCTGCAAATCAATACAGGCTAACTGTCGCCTGTATCTATGTTTTCACCTTCAGTAGCAATAATAACTAGTTTCCCCAGATATTTCCAGTGTAATATTTATGTTTTATGAGTATCATTCATACATATCTTGGGAGGATTGGGGTGAATGGTTAAGGTCCAAACATGTTCCATATTTCATGGTGCATGTTCCTCGTGAAGATTCGGGTTGGAATTGGTCTTCATGCAACAAGCTGTTGCTTGTCGAAGGAGGCGACTAACGAGACACCGGATCCATCGGACATGTCACCTGTTTGGAAATGTTTGGATTTATATATGGTGTCATGAATAACAGGGGGCATGGGTGGCCCAGTCGTCTAAGGCGCCGCGATTCGCTGTGCAGAGTTGCGTCCCTTGGGCACGCCAGAAACCTATGATTGTGGGTTCGAATCCCGGTTCGCCCCAATTATATTTCTAGGTTTGTAAGCACCATACCCGTGCTCGTGGGTTTCACCGAAGTGTTAAACGTCTGAGACCTGCATCACTTCGGGCTTTCCTCCCACATTAAGCTGACACGCCGTGATATAACTGGAATACTTTTAAAAGTGGCGTTAAACCCAACTCACTGACTCACTCATGAATAACATTCTTCCAGTGCATCAAGCTGGCGGGTCAAATATATATAGACAACGGGGCATTGCTCACTTGGTTGTTATGTCACACCGACCTAGAATGTAAATATCAATAGCAGGAGAAATGTCACAATAAGTGGGCAATTATGTCACCCATGCCTTGATGCAGAAAGGGCAGTCAAACCTCGAATGACCATCCCTCACATGCCTATTGTGGTACAGAGGCTGCAGGTAATTATCCACGACTTGACAGGGATATTCTGCTACTTCCGAGTCCCTCATTTAACAGGAAACAAGGTCTGTACGTGAATAGTTCACCGTTATAAAACGCTTTAATAATTTTGTCAATTGCCGTCAATTTCTACAAATTCTATTCATATATGAATGAGTGTAAGAAACAGTTTTGCACTTAAAATGCGATATATTAATCGATAATATGTGTGTAATGTAACCAATGCGCGTATATTAAACCATTGGTGGGAACTGTTTCTGTTTCACGCTCACATTGTCACTACCTTGTCTGACGATATATCCTGTCCATAAATTATTTCCTTTCTTTTGTTGAGATAAATGCAATTTTATTGGAGTTTTAATGTTTCAATCATATAACTGTAAACTGTAAACATTGGTCAACAATGATACCTGCAACGAGTAAATAACTGAACCGAGAGTATGATTGGCCAATTAGACACTAGCAACATGGGAATAAATGCACAGTACTTTGATGATAATGAAACAAATTGTAAAACCTGCAGACTGAACAGACTGAATAACCTGTCAACGGAGAAACATACGTGGGAAAATTGACACCTGCAAGGGCAGGATGAGTATTATCTAGACCCTAGCACCAATAAAGCACGAGCGATATATGTGGACCCTGCTTATCTTGAATGACCGAGACACTGGAAAGATCTTTGTTGTGTGGACCATCCTGGTCCCTTCACTCAGTAGTAGCGCTGTGCGTGAGAATTAGGTAAATGTTCACTCTTATTTAGACTTGTTCCGGTACACGTCAAGTGTCAAGTGAACTATGGCTACCTGTGTGTCAGTCTAGTGCCTGGTTTCAGTGGATGTCCTTATGAAGGTGTGGACAGGATTATCAGGATGACGAATGACGGCAGTAGAGAGCCATGGAATACGACTGACATGGGGAACGTGACTTCCACTGGGGAGACCAGTCCGCTGAAAGTGGCGACAACAGGTATGGGAAATATGGACACTGCTTTGACACATACATGCTCCTCCTCAACTTAAAGTTATATGTTTTACTCATTACCAAGGCTTAAACGTCATAAACACGATATGACATGTCATGGAGTACTAAGTCTCATTAAAATGAGATCATTTACTCTGATCAATGCGAAACGCCTCTGCGTCAAGATTTGACCACACCTCCAATAATAGGTCGCGTCGGCTGAACCCTAGGCGAATTTTGACCACCCAATCTAAATAGATGATGCGTGGGTTGTTGTATTTAGAATTCCTCAGAAATCAGAGCTTAATATATATGTTTAATCAGAGTAAAAGGACTTGATTTTAAGGAAATTATGAATAACCTACCATCTATGTTTTCTACAGATTCAACAGCTGAGCCATTTCTCGTACCACTGAGATACTAGGATTGCATTCAAAACAGATAGTACAATAATATGATCATTATTCATGTCATGGCAAAACTATGCGGGATTCCTCCTTAATGTCCCTGTTAAACATGGGTGGGTGGGGGTACATTTACCATGTGTGCCAGTATAATCTATACAATGAAATATTTCATACGCATCAATCTAGTGGTACTGACGACAAGCCTTATCATCATAATGTTGGGCGTCGGAGCCTGCATCCAGCTCAAAGAATTATGGGCTCATCTGAGACGGCCATACGGCATCCTCATCGGGGCGGCGTCACAATTTATCGTGCTGCCTCTGACGGCGTTCGGACTGGGCCATGCTCTGCAGCTGCCTCCACGGCAGGCGATAGGGATGCTGATCATGAGCTGTTGCCCGGGTGGATCCACCTCTAACATGTTCACGTTGTGGGTGGATGGAGACGTGCCCCTCAGGTCAGTGGGAGTCGGTACTAGAGGGTACTAAATTCATAGGGTTGGATGGAGAGTGTGTGAATGGGAGGGCAGTTTTACGCACTCAGCAATATATGATATTGATTCGCTTCAATCCTCTTTGGTTTCCTCAAAACTTCACTGACATCTGGTTATATGGATTGCCATGGAGGCATGGCGGATACTCTATATTTGGCAATCGCAGAAAGGTTTAAATTGGCATCTTTGATATGTGCTTGCATACGAATGCCAATTGGTAGAAAAACTTGTTGTTTTTTAATATGAACTCTGGTATTGGGGATATATCTGGAATATTGCTAAGAACGGCGTAAAATCTAGCTCATTCACTGGTGGAACTTGATGATTAAAATCATATTTGAACCATAGAAATACACAAAAGGCTAATAAGTATCTCTCGTTCGGTGTTCCGGACAGTAATAATTATTAATTATTTTTTAATGTGCCAGCAATCACTTATTTTGGCCGATACAAGGTATGAAGGTATTTCTAAACGTGTGTAAATTTCACCTTATATTCTATATTGTTACAGCCTGACAATGACCACAGTGAACACGGTTTTGTCAGCCGGATTTCTGCCACTCAATCTTCTCATCTATAGCCGTTCTTGGACAGACAAGATAGCAGTTATCCCTTATGGCAATCTAGCACAGGCGTTTGCCATGATGCTGATACCGGCAGTCGTAGGTATAGCAGTGCGTCACTGGAGACCAAGGGTTGCCGTGTACATGATAAAGGTGAGTACAGTGTCAGTGCATCCCGAGGCAAGAAAGTTAACTGACTGTAAAAGTCCAGTTTCCACCCTTGCCGAACTAGGCTGGTATTATGGAGTAACATTTTGGCTGGACTAACGAGTCTATGCATAGTCAAATCACCGAAATCGAAATCCGGTTCGTAAAATTTTGTGCAGATTTCTGTCGATTGCAGGATTTGCAAAGCATATGCACCGCCAACTCGTTGTCAACAGATTCTTTTCAAGTCTTTTCATGTTTTTAATCAAGGTGCTCACGTGATTTGATGCACTTCGCTTTGTGAGACCCGTTTTATCACAATATAGATCTTGATTGTCGATCAGATCGTTTTGACTGGGCGCCGCCATTAGGATTGAAGCAAATGCAAGTGATACGAGAGGTGGAATCTGATTGGTCCATATGAGAGGCTTAGTAGGGACATAACTCGTAGTAACCACTGGTGGCGCTACGGTCGAGCCCAGGAATTCCAACCTGGTTCGGCAAGGGTGGAAACTGGACTTTTAAAGTCAGTTAACTCCCTTGTCTCGGGAAGATGGTGTCAGTGCTGCTTTATGTCTACAAAATCTATCAATCAGCAAATACACGGACCTGGCACATGGCATTCGTTAATGTGAGCAGTTGAGTTGATACGGATGGTCATCCCTGGTGGCATGAACTCATTCCTTTGGAACAGAGGCAGCATTGTGATAAAAAATGAACCATTTCTATAGTCAGCTTCGGATGAGGTGAGGGTTACAATAAATCCTTGTATATCCTTGACATGTGGAATAACTGATCAATTATGAATAAATGTATTTTTAAATGATTACCATCTCACTAACTTGAAGTAGCTTATTGAGAAATATTTGTAACTGTTCATTTGAGAATGGTACATAATCTGTTAATCTTCAAAGTATTTTAATGTTTTGCAGATAGGCAGCGCAGCTGGGGCAGTGTCAGTTGTAGCGGCCATGACACTCATCAGCCTGCTCTACCCTTTCATGTACAACTCCTCCTGGAGGATATACTTTGCAGTTGTCATCCTACCATTCATCAGTTTTGGGTTCGGGTACGTCACTGCCTTCATCTTCAGGATGCCACATCATCGGTGTAGAACTGTTGCCATGGAGACTGGAATACAAAATTTTCCGTTTTGCATGACCCTACTGACCTTGACATTCAACAAGTCAGAAATGGGTGAATTGTCCCTGTATCCTCTGTTATTTGGTGTGTTTATTCTAGTGGACTCAGTAATCGTGACTTCAATGTATAGGGCTGGCGTCCTCATACACAGTGTGGTGTCAAAGCAGGAGGAGTTTACCCCTGTGTCCACAGACAGCATTGAACACCAGCCAGATGACTTAAAACAGTCTTGTTAACATTCGAGATGTAGATATTGGCTCAACATCCATTTTGTTTGATACAACAAAACTGCTCTCTACATTATTTCAGTAGCGACTAGTGCATTTAGGTAAGATCAATTTCATACAGCTTTCGTTAGGGCTGAAAATACACTTTGTTAAGACAGGATACATATATATCCATATTAAGATTGCGATATGACACAAGAAGCGATACATACAAAACTCACAACTGGGCTGTACAGTTAAATCACCCACCCTACAGCCCAGACTTAGCCCCCAGTGACTATTTCCTGTTCCGGCAAATGAAATCTGCCCTACGTGGAAGAGGCTTCCAGGATGACGAGGACATAAAGGCTGCCACAGAGGCGTGGTTAGAGGGCCAATCTGCGGATTTCTATGAAAGTGGCATTAAAAGTTTGAAGGACAAATGGAATAAGTGTATTAAGGTGAATGGAGATTATATTGAAAAATAAAAGTGCAAAAGATATTCTGCGACTTGGTCTTACATTGAGGTTGCAAAACTTATTGAACGCCCCCCATGCGAGCAGAAAATAATAGTGTACGGTACGTGTTCATACTGTTTTTAGTGTTACCAAATGCTTATTAATTCCTGTACCATTCAGTTCCAATATATGATCTGCTGATGAGCACAGTGTAAAGCTATGCACTAGGTTGAGTAAATCATTACACTTTGCCTCGTCAAGAAGTCGTTTGGTTTCGTCTGTTTTCTAAACACATAAATGCTAACACTTAAATTGCACGATGTTTGGTATTTTTACAGTTAATATAGAAAATTTATGAACTTTTGGGTAGGCTAACCTCTTTATGAGGTTTACAATGACCAGTGATTAGAGATTGCATTTCGTATATTATTATTTAAAAGTTTAACACAGGCAATTCCTTAAAATTTGTATGATTTTTGTAGTAATTCTAATTTAATCAAAATGGTGTTGTTGGACAATTAAAACTGAATATAAAAGTTCTTTTTACTTTCTGATTGTTGCTTTTTGCATGGGTCAATTAAATATGTAAACAATAAAAACATTTTGCTTAGTGTGTCAAAGTTGTTTTATTCAGTATGGCTGTCAAAGCCAAATTAGGAAATACAGTATCCCACAAATCACATTACTCTGAAAGCAATATTCATAAACAAGGGTAGCACAAAAAGGGAGCAGGTAGGCCAAAGAAATTGACTGTTGGTGACAGAAGGCGACTTGGTATATTGGCGTCGAAAAACAGACGCATGTACATTTGCATGCAACAGTTTGGCATAAATGACGAAGCTGGGACGAAGTTTGAACTGGAATTTGGAGCATAGAAATTTCAATTGGGACAATGTTATGTTCTCAGATGAAAATTCAGCGTGGCTATATCCAAACTGCATAAAAATGTGGACCAAAGGCACAGAAAAACCAATTTACCAGCGTTCGAAGTACATTCCAAAATTTCAAGTTTTGGATTGGGTGTATGTGCTGCTGCCACACCATTATGTGTATTTGAAGGTCACACGACTAGTGCTGTGTACAATGATATTCTACAGGGACATATCCTTCCAACAGCACGTTTTCTTTGGTGACGGGTGAGAATCCCGGCAAGACAGTGATCCAAAACATGGATCGAAGTATCTCTGGAATGTTTTAACTAGCAAAATGTTCCACTCTTGGAACGATCCAGCTGGAGTCTAGACCTGAACCAAATAGAATATACTTGGGGAATCATGAAGGACAATATCAATAAAAAAATCTAAAAAAGAAAAAAGAAAAGTCTGATATAAAAGCAGAGGTGGTGAGATATTGGGACAGTCTTTCTCGTGATCTTCTAACTTCCTTGAGGGGCACTATGCCTCGCCGCATTGAAGCATGTATTGGGAAAGGAGGTGGTCTGACGAAGTATTGAACAGTTTTCTGTTATTTAGCTTCAGGTAAGCAGTGTTTGTTGTACTCACTTATCTTTTGGTCTTTGACTTAATAAATGTATAATTTACATTCTCAAAAAGTCATGGTTAAACTGTAAGTGTGTGAGCTACTGTCATTTCCAAAAATAATTCTGAAATATCACAACATATTGTGGCTGGTCTTGCATGGCCAATGTAGTGAAACCAAACACAGGTGTGGTGCAGAAAAACTAAGGATAAAAATTTGGGGCTCAAACCCTGATCATCAGATCCTTACATGACCACACAAATTCTGGACAGGTAAATTGCAGTACATTGGGCAATCGGCAACCAGTGCCTGACAAGTTAAACTAGAACCTAAAGACGAAAAGTGTATCCATCTACAGAAAACCATCAGGTATCACATGTATAGTAAGGTATGTAATGATATGAAATTAGGGGAATATGACGGTTGTTATCATGGTTATAGTGAGTTTGGACAATAGCTCCTTTGAACAGTATTTTAGTCAGGATCAGACTTGGTCACTTGTCTGTTAGTCTGATACAAGTGAAAACAAAGTGGCTAGTTTCCTCCCAAAATCTACTTATTTTACACTGACCACAAGTCCAAAGTGAGCTGTGAACTAGTTGGATATGACTAGTGGTGGCTACACCTCCAGTTATATCATGGCATGCCAGCTTGAGCTGGAGCTAGAGCTCGGAGGAAAGGATTATTGTTTTATAGATAACTTATACCAAGGCCCTATCAATCATGCTAGTGCCAGTGCAAATGTTTCAAGGCAACACACGAGACTTGTCTAACTTGTGTTGGCTGAAGCTATTTTGACCTACTGTTCATTGAATTGTTCCTCCCACTAAACGTGAAGACTAGTATATGGTTTAACATTAAATAGACCAATACTTTCTACAGAAACAACATTCAAGAAACATTTGTATCTCTCCCTAACTGTCCTCCATGACATAAGGTGAAACAAGTCTGTGTGTGCATGCATATGTCCCTTTTCATAGTGCTAGCCCAATCTGGAGGTTGAACCCTGACCTTCATGCAGATGTTCTATCCTCTAGACCAGGGTAGAAAATAGGTCTTCAGCAACCAAAGCTTTTTGTTAGAGGTGACTAATTGGATTGGGTGGTCAGACTGCAAAGTTGGTTTATCCATGTCATCATATCTAAATTGCGTAGATCGCTGATCATGATGTGTGACTCGATTACTTACAGACCGCTGTGATATAGCTGTAATATTGCTGCGTGCGGCGGTAAACAAAAAACAAACCTCGACAACACAGGTGGTCCTATTTCTCCCGAAAGAAACACGATTCAAGTTTCATGAACATACAACAGATAGTTTTTGAGTTACTATGTATACTTGTTTAGGGTATGACTTCCACGCAGGATTTCAGGTCTAAAACATGTTTTGTTCTGATTAAGCTTAATTTCAAAACATGGTGCGTAAGTAGTTTTTCACATAATGTTTCTTTTATAATTCTGTAATGTATTGCTGTGGTTGGTAATCTGTTATATATTTTCATGTTGTTACTAACCTAGAACTGTATCTTGAATAAGTGTGAAAACAAATTTATTAGGGTTTTCAAATAGATGTATATAATACAAAGTACCTGAGACGTCACAACACCTCTGAGCAAAACCTCAAATCTTCTCCACATATTGTAGCTGAATGAACAAGATATGACAAAATTATGGCTAACATATGATTTTATTCATTTTTTTAAATAGCATACATTCACACAAAACAGTCACTATCATGTCGGTTGATGGATAGTATCCTTGCAGTGGAATTTCTTCAAGTTCTGTTCAACATAACAAAGAGACCAGGATCATACTTTCACCCTGCAACAAAACAAAGGACTCATGTACGACGGCATTACACAAGATGAGCACAGCAATGCAATGGAGCAAGAGATGGGTTCTATGCAGCTTGAATTGTATCTCATTTACATCATAGCATGTTCACTAATGTAGACAGAAAGCCAAAAGTGTCACAAGTCATAGATAGTAATAACTTTCATAACCTGTTATCATGTGGTATGGTGCTAACAAACCAAGAAACATAATCAGGGCGAACCAGGATCTCAACCCACAATCATCAGTGTCCAACCCAGAATTGAAAATCAAGTGGGGGCTTGTCCCCCGATCATGTAGAAATAGGAGGCATTTTGAAAAAGTAGGGGGGATAATTGCTTTCTTCAAAAATGTCTTATTTTGTATTATGTACTGGAACATCATCATATAAAAGTGTAACAGATCAGAATAAAGAACTGAAATGAATAACAATGCTTTGTGCTTTTTTCTATTTTGATCAAAAAAGTCTATAATTCTTTTGTTTTTGCGCGACATGGTCATTCACTATTCAAAAGATCGTCTGCTATGACAGTCGGCGATTCATATTGTGTGACTTCAGAAACGAAACTAAAACAAACTAAAATGCTCAAAAATATTTTCAGAACTATTCAAGATAGAATATTTATTGTCTTTAAACACCTTGTCAAAGGTTTTTACTAAACAACAAATACAACATAAATTTGATACATTTCTACAAAAGTAAGTCAAATTTTGTTTCCTATGCCAATCCTGTCGATAATTAATTCAGCAACCCAAGGGACGTCACTCGTGTTTGAACTTCCAGTTGTTATCGATCGGTCTTCGACAGTTGTTTACAATGTTTGCTGTGAACTGTCTTTCTTCGTTAATTGATTAAAGATTTAGTGAGTATTGAATCTAAAGGTAGGGATAAACAGCTGATAAAGTAAGTGACTGTACAAGAAATCGCGCTTTGATTTTTTTTATGAGGGGGTGATTTGATTTTTTTTAGCGTGAATTGCGCAATCGTGTGGCCTGGGTTGGACACTGGTCAATAGGTTTCTTCTGACAAGCATGGGCTGCTGAAGATCAGTTCTAACCGGGATCTTCACAGGTGGGGATATATGTAAATGGCTTTGCACACTGTACCAATGAGGGGAAAATTAGCACAAACAGGATGTCTGATGACATGAAAAGTAAAAAAAGCCTAACAGCTATTACATGTTTCAGAACATGTCCACTGACCTAAATATCTACATATCGTATACATCCTTCAGAGCTAGTTCTGGTTTGTTATAGCCCATTTCTTCAGGTGTGAGGATACCAAGATCCTTGAGGGTGGGGTCGATTTGTTGGGAGATGTATGGCCAGATTTCCTTCACTTTGTTGCCACATTTGTCCTGTAAAAAAAGGTTTGTAGTTGTACTGTTACAATCAGAAATGACAGCTGAAAAATGGTTTGTTATCAATTCATAATCATAATACACACCAACACTGTGCAATTATAGAAATGTAAAAGAGACAAGACAAAAGTGAGCTGGGCTCACCTTGTATTGGTAAAGAAACTGTACCTCCAATGGGAAAAGAATCCATGAAGTATTTTTCAGTCATAGGTCACACAAATGTT